AGTTTCAGCGCCTGCCGACATGCAGGCTGGACCGCATCCTGTCGACTTTCGCGAGAGGGTGAGCGGCGCGGGTTCGCACGATCCTCCACAGCAGAGCCCTGCCGACGTGGCGGCTGACGCCGCGTGGCAGAGGCGGAGAGCAGCATTGGTAGCCGATGGTCTCCTTCTGGCTCAGGGGCGAGGAGCTGTTGCTGCAGCCGCTCCAGTTCGGCCGAGCAGAGGAGCCATCCCGATCTCGTGTGAGGCGGCTGCCGCGTTGAATCGGATGACGGCGCAGCCTGGGCAGCCACATGCAGCGTCGTCTTCGTCTCCTTCAGGCAGCAGCCCCGACAATTGCAAGCAACAGTAGCTGTTCACTTCTGCGTATGTGGTTGGAATTTTCGCTCTGGCATTTTGCTGGGCCACCTCAAGAATGTCTGTCTCTTTGGCATCGTATTCGTGGTCTTGGCAGCGCTGTATTCTGGCTGAGCCTGGCCCAGGCCCACTGGGCAAGCAAGGCGCCCCACTTTGTTTGGTTTGCTTTTCTTGTTTAGTATGCCTCAATCGATGTGTCAGAAGCGGCTGAGCGGGTTTTATCTTGAGGGCAATATGCTAAGCGGTGTTTCGTGAACTTGGGCGCATTTATACTCTTTGGCATCGAAGGGGCCTTGGCTGCATTCTGGCTGAGCCTGGCCCAGGCCCGCAGGGCAAGCAAGGCGATATTATCTTCTTTTGTGGGAATGTATTTTCGCTGTTTGCTTGGTGTCAAGAGGCGTTCTGGTGGTCAGTTTGTTTTCGAGTATCTCATCCCGCCCCTGGGCATCGGCAGCTGGAGGGACATGAGCGTCACACGCAATATGGTGAACGGCTTTTCTGTTCTGGTGCGGGTCTTCCTGATCGTCGCGTCCCTCGTCGTGGTCAGGGGGTGGAGTGCTCCATGTATCTATTGCTTCGCAATCTCTCCGAGGTCCTCTGAGCGGGCGAGGCTTAATCGTATGAACCACTACGTGGGATAGCCTGTTCCTGTTCCTGCTCCTCCTCCTCCTCCTCCTCCTCCTCCTCCTCCTCCTCCTCCTCCTCCTCCTCCTCCCCCAGCTCCTCCTCCTCCGCCTCCTCCTCCTCCTCCTCCTCCTCCACGGCCACGCATCCCTCCTCAACATCTCGGCCCTCCAAGACCTGCCCTCTGGATGCGTTCCAGCGGGCAGCTCGAGACGGCCCCCAGCCGTGGCCACGAGGGCGCGCCTGGAGGCCTCAAAACGTCCCACGAGCCTTCAAGTCGGGCCTGTCCTCCTACAGGGGGATCTTAGATAACAAATAGCGAAAAAAAGACGTACATATTGAAAACATCGTATTGAAAAAAAACCGTCCCCAGACTTTTGTTGTACTATTGTTGAATATTCCTCATGTGGAGGGACAGGCCCAACTTAACACGAGACGCCCAAAACATCGCTGCCCCTGCCAGCCGCGTCTACCTGACCTCTCCGCGGGTGCGATCTGACCATAATTTCGAAGCCAATCCAGGCGTGGCCACGGGAGCGCCAGAAGTCCAGTCATGTCAAGGCAAATCAAGTCACCCCACTCGCACGAGTCCCCCGACTCTCCTCTTTCGCGCTGGCCGCCGAAGTCCCCCCCCCCGGCCCGGCGCCCGAGCGGACCATCGCTATCGCCCGCTGGACAAACATGCCGAACATCCTCCTCGGCGCAAGCCTTCTCCACCCACTCGTCGAACCCCTCGCGATCGTCGGCGAGCCCGACGTCCCCATCGATGGCAACTCGACCGAGGCCCCTGCCTCGCCGACGCTGCTTACGCTCCAGATGGGCGCCTTCACGTCAGCGGCGTGAAATTTCACATAGGTCACCTCGCTTCAGGCCCACGCGCCTGTCGCCGCGCGCTTCGCCTGGCCCGCGTGCCGATCCATTCGCGCCGGCGCCCGCCGCGAGGCCCACCGCGTCGCCCGCCTCGGCGCCGCTCGCACGCGCGCCGTGGCAGCCGACCGCGAAAATCCAGGCCGTGGCGCCCGCCTCCGCGTAGGTGATCGCCCCGACCGTCGTCTTCTCGCCGCCCTTGGGCGGTGCCGGCGCGGCCCCCTCCCAGCCGCCGCTCAGCCCCCAATTCCCACCGTTGTCGCTCCGACCCGCCCCGCCCCAGCTGTGCCAGGCGCCCGCGTGGTCGACCTTCGCGTAGCAGACCTTCTCAGCAGTCCTTCTGTTGTGTTTCCACTTGCCGCATCGTTCGCAGCGGCCCTGGAACTTCGTCTTCTCCATATCGGTGCCCTTGTCACCGTTGCTCTTTCCGTCCTTGCCGTGCTTGCCCATGCCCTTGCCCCACTTGCAGTCGCCCTTCTTCGCATGCGTGTGCGAGTCGGCCCAGTCCACGTCCATGGGAGCGACCCCGCCCTTGGCATGGGCTGCTTTGTAAGCAGGTGGTCGGCGCTAAACTTCTTGGCCTTCTGCCACTGGATCTCCTCCATGAGAAACTACAGCAAGACGTGGTTCTTCAGCGCCTCGGGCGCCCTGACAATCAGTACGGCACTCTTGACGTTGTCGCTCAGAGTCTCGTTGGCCAGAAGAGGCCAAGTAGTCTAGGAAGTCCTCCACCGTGCTTTCATCGAACTGCACCTGCATCAGCTTCGAGAGCACGTCGCCGATTTTCTGAGGGCCGCGTTGGTACGATGCCCACCTGTAAGCGTCGAAACCGTCCTGCTTGCTGACCTTCCTGATGATGCCGAACGGCGTGTTTTCCGTGTACATCGCCAGCTGGAAGTAGAGCGTCTGCGCGAGCTGCCTCCACTCCTCGTCGTCATTGCCGGAAGTCGGACTCTGGCTACACTCAATCAGCGTCAGTCCCGTGGGCGCATGTTGCCTCAAGTTGCCGATGGAAACTTCGACGTTGAAATTATAGTCATACTACTCGGGCTTCTTCACGTTGTCGAACGTCGGTGGCTTCCATTTGTCGCCGAGCACGCTGGAGATCAGCCCCTTGTCGTGCTACTGCTGTTCGCGCGCTGCTAGCGTTCCCTGCCGATCCCGATATTGCTGCAGCTCCGTGATCGTCACCGTCTGCTGATCCAGTAGTCCAAGCACGTTTCGGAGCTCCCTTTTTGTCTCCTGTAGCTCCTGCGCTACTGCCTCAATTATCGTCGAATCGTCGTCCGAAGGCCTTCAGCTCGCCCTCGCTCTCGCTGTGGAATGAGCGCCTCACCGACGCTCCACTGCCATCTTGACAATGAGTTGCGGTATCTGATTTTCCTGGTCAGCGCAGCCGCAGTCCTCACACCGAAACGATTGATCATAAACGGTTACGGAATCCGCTCTGCCTCTGCACATGCAATACTCAAACACGGGAGGGCATCAGGACCACGGATGTCCGACACTATCCGCCCCTCTCCATCGACCACCCGAAACAACGACGACGACGACAACCGACGACGACAACGACCCGCCGCCGCCGCCGACGCAGCCGCCTCACCGAACAGCTCGCCCCTGATGATCAGCTCGCGCGCCCGGGCCTGGGGGTGAAGGGCAACGAAAGGTGCGTGGTCCTGCTCATGGGGGAAACTATCGACCGGGAACCGGAGTCACATCGCCGATGCATCGGCGATGGGCCCCCGATTGCGAATCCGCACGCTCCCGGGCGGGGGGCCCTGTCGAACCCCCATCGCGGCGATCAGGCCGAAGTCCGGCCCCCCACGGAGGCCGGAGCTGGAGGCGAGGCCCGACCTGCCCCCCGGGCGCGCTCGGCCTGGGAATTTTGAGGCGGATCCCGTGGGTGACGGCGAGAGGCCTACCCGAGGAACATGCGCCCAAAAAACGCTCGACCCTCGATCCCGCGATCGCCTACGCAGGGCCTCGACCCCTGATGCTTTGAGGTACCCGGATTGGACATGACACCCCGCACTGCAGGGGCAACGAAAACTGGCATAACCACCACTATCGCGAGGAGCCAAGGAGGGTCCTCCTGGCGGTGTGGCCCGCCTGTTTTGCGGCCCTGCGCCCGACGCATCCCCATTCATCCGGCTCGGGGCACCGTGGGCCGCCTCGCTGGAGGCGGCCTTCTGATGGTGGTGGTGCCGCTTCTTCTGTTCCGACTCCTCTGCATGAAGCAAGCGGGTCCTGCGGGAAACGGGTCCTTGACCCCGGGGCCTTCTCCCAGGTGCAATCCTTAGCCTTGACGACCCCCGGGCCCGTGGAGGGCCCAGACAGGGGCCGAAAACCGATGGAAAAATATCAGGGCCCATTTCCCTCAGCCCGCCTGCTACAACGAGGGAGAACGCCAGGCGGGGACCAGCTCGGGGGGGGGGACATCAATCTGGACTCGGCGGTACATCGCCGATGAATCGGCGATAAGCCTTCGATGGCGAAACCGCGCGCTCCTGGGCGGGGTGATCATGCCGGCGATGAGTGGGCGATTGGGGGTCGATACGTCCCCTCCTGAGCCTATATGTTCCTACTGTTTTCCCTGGGGGGCACGGATTAGCTCTCATGCGATAGCTCGGGCCTCTGGCGACCGTTTGGGACGGCTCTGGCCCCTCCAGAACGTTCTCGACGAGGAACATCTGATGGGAAGCACCACGAGGCTGGGAAACCATGGGGAAACCGCCAAAACCGTCAGAACACCTAGAGCCTCGACGGGGCCGAACACAACGTAAATGCAACTGGGGTCGATGCCCCCCCCTGGGCCTCTCCCCCCTGAGCGTCGCTGGGAAGGGCTCGATGTGCAATTGCACCGCGTCACCAGGCCGGCACGTGAGCTCGGCGCATTGACGCCCCAACTGCCCAAACTGTGGGACGCCGGAACGCCAGTACACCAAACTCCCTCGCCGAGCTCCGTGGCCCCCTGGAGACCTTTTTTTTGAATCAGCGATGACCCGGGTTATCCGGGGGGGAGGGGAGGGAGGGGGCCGGCCGATAATCTAACCTTTGCGCTATGGGCAGCCTTGCACATGCCCGCGCCCCCCCCACCCGGACGCACAGCCGGAAAGGTTGGGTTATCCTGGGGGGGGGAGGGGGGGCAAGCACGACAACCCGGGTTATCGCCGGACCCCCAAAAAACATCTCTACATATATTATATCGGGCCTCCCCGAGTTGCACCCTGCCCACGGCGAGCTCCGCGGGCCTCGTCGCCGGCGGAGGCCGCGCGCGCGAGCTGCCGAAACGCCTCGCCGCTGTCCCGCAGGGGCTCCGGGCGCGCGGCGCCGCGCCGGCGCCAGCGCCGGAAGCCGTCCAGCACCAGTAGCATGGTCAGCCCGTCCACGATGTACCTCGGGCGGGGGGAAGGGGAGGAGGAGGAGGAGGAGGAGGAGGAGGAGGAGGAGGAGAGGAGGAGAGGAGGAGGAGGAGGAGGAGGAGGAGGAGGAGGGGAGGAGGAGGAGGAGGGGGGGGGGAGGGGGGAGGACGAGGAGATTCCTCGGGGTTTCCTCGTCTGTTGTCGTGGACACAGGGTGGGTCAAGGGCGCGGGGGCGGCGGCGCGGGCAGGGCGCTGCCGACCTGTCTGCGTCGGCGCCGCAGCCCTCGGCTGGGCACGCACGCAAGGCGCTGCAGTTTCCTTCCTGGCTCCGCCTCGCGAGGCAGTGCTGGTCGACTCCGCAGCTTCTGCACTTCACACTCACACTTCTCATACTCTGCATGCTCCTCAGGACCATTTTCGCGAAGCCTGGCCTGCGTGACACGTGGGCCTTCCGTTCGTGCCCAGCAGAGGGACGGGCCTGAACTTCCTGCTGGGCGTGATGAGGTGCTTCTAGTATCTGGTCTCGATATTATGCAAGCCCTCCTCTGGGAGGGGCTCCCACTCTCCATGGATATCCTCCGCTCCCCATTGGGTTCCATCGCTGTAGCTGATGACGTTGGGCTTCTCCTTCGCCTCCGGTTTCCGCTGCAGCTGCCCGCACGCGCTGCCCCCAGCGCTGTAGTTGATGACGCCAGGCTTCATACATTTCGTCACTTGCCAGCCACGTCGCTGCGATCACTGCTCGAGCCTCCCGCATGGCCCAGCAGGTGCCGTCGCCGCTGTAGCTGGTGATGTCTGGCTCTATTGTCGCATCTCGCTTCTCACACCGCCTGCTCCCAGCGCTGTAGCTGATGATGTCGGGCTCCAGATTCGCCTCGCACTTCCCGCTGCGTGTCGTGAGAGGTTTCTGGCCTGGCTCGCTCTTCTCGCACGCGCTGCTCCCAGTGCTGTGACTAGCGACGATGTCGGGATCCAGCTCCGCCTTTCCCCTCTCGCACGCCCTGCCTCCAGCGCTGCAGCTGATGGTGTGGGGCTCCATCTTCGCCTCCCACGTCTCGCATCTCATGGGCTCTAGCTTCGCCTTCCTCTTCTCGCATGCCCTACTCGCAGCGCTGCAGCTGCTCACATCGGGCTCTGCCTTCACCTCCCACGTCTCGCACGTGCTGATCCCGGGGTTGTGGCTAGGGGTGCCGGGCTCGGTCATCGCCACCGACTTCTCACACGCCATGGGCTAGGCGCTGTAGCTGACTGTGTCGGGCTCCATCCTCGCCTCCCACTTCTCGCACGTACTGATACCAGGAGTGCGTGGCTGGGAATCGAATCGGGCTCCAACTTGGCCTCCGACTTCTCGCGCGCGCTGTTCTCGGAACTGTGGCTATGGATGGGCTCCAGCTTCGCCTTCCTCTTCTCGCGCGTACTTGTCCCCGCGCAGCAGCTGATCGTGTTGGGCTCACTCCTCGCCTTCAACTGGTCGCATGCGCTGCTCCCAGAGTCCTGGCTAGGTATAGCGGGCTCTCGGTTGGCCTTCGTCTCGCATGCCCTGATCGCAGCGCTGTAGCTGCTCACGTTTGGCTCGACCTTCGCTTCCCAATGCTCGCACGCGGTGATCCCCAAGGTTGTGGCTTGGGGTGTCGGGCTCCGTCTTCGTCTTCCCCTTCTCACACGCCGTGGTCTCAGCGCTGTGGCTTCTCGTGTCCGGCTCTGTCTTCGCCTTCCGCTTCTCGCACTCGCTGATCCTAGAATCGTGGCTGGGGATGTAGGGCTCCAGCATCGCCTCCTGCTCGCACGCCAAGGTCCCAGCGTTGTGGAGGAGGAGTAGGAGGAAGAGGAGGAGGGGGGGGCCACCATCTGTGAGCGGCTCTGCCAGTGAGGGAACCCCGCGCGCCTGGCCGCGTCTTGCGGCGGGGGGGCGCGGGCGGCGCGCGCATGGAGATCAGCGGAGCAGACTGCGAGGCGGGGACTTATGGACAAATCAGCGCCTGGGAACAGACGTCCTGGGACCCCAGATGACGGTGGACATGGACATAGTCTGGCCCAGGAGGGCCGCATATACGATCCTGGGTCGAGCGTTCACAGCCCGCCCTCCCAGATGGGATGGGCCCCATGCTTCACAGCCCCCCCCTCCGATGGATGTGGGAAGGGACGACGACGACGACGACGACGACGACTTGTTCATCAGCGTAGGGGCTGTAATGTCAAGGACGGTGACTGCATGCCAACGCAAAACACGGCGTCCGAGGCTGTTTACAGCACAAACATCTGGAACCCGCTGCAAAGATACGACGACGCCGACGACGACGACGCCGACGACAACGCCGACGACGACGCCAACGCCGCCGACGACGACGCCGACGCCGCAGACGCCGACGCCGACGCCGACGCAGACGCCGCCGATGGACGACGACGACGACGACGACGACGACGACGACGACGACGACGACGACGACGACGACGAACCACACCACACCCACAAGGGGGAAACACCCGCACCCTCCACCGCGCCACGCCCACAGGGCCACGAC